AACAGATATTGGTGATCGTGAAAGAGTTTCCAGATGTGGAAACGTGCAGAAGAACTCTGAAAGATCTGGCAATAGCCCTACACTTTGATCTCCGTATCGTGAAATCAGACAGAAGTCGGTTCATAGCCAAATGTTCCAAGGAAGGTTGCCCATGGCGGATCCATGTCGCGAAATGTCCCGGGGTTTCGACCTTTTCGATCAGGACCCTTAATGGCGAGCATACTTGTGAAGGGGTCCGTGATCTTCATCATCAGCAGGCATCAGTCGGTTGGGTTGCAAGATCAGTGGAAGCACGTATTAAGGATAACCCTCAGTACAAACCGAAGGAAATCTTACAGGACATTCGCGATCAGCACGGTGTTGCAGTTTCTTACATGCAGGCATGGCGCGGGAAAGAGCGTTCCATGGCTGCTCTTCATGGGACATACGAGGAAGGATATCGTCTTCTTCCTACATACTGTGAGCAGATTAAACAAGTGAATCCAGGAAGCTTTGCTTCTGTTTTTGCTTCTGGACCCGAGAATTGTTTCCAGCGTCTGTTTATTGCATATCGGGCGTGTATCTCTGGATTCATCAGCAGTTGTAGGCCTCTTCTCGAAATCGATAAAGCGCATCTGAAAGGGAAGTACTTGGGTACGATTCTCTGTGCTGCTAGTGTTGATGCAGATGACAGTTTATTTCCTCTAGCGATCGCCATTGTTGATATTGAGAGTGATGAAAACTGGATATGGTTCATCTCGGAATTGAGGAAACTTCTTGGGATGAATACAGAGAGCATGCCAAGGCTCACGATACTCTCGGAGAGAGCTCGTGGAATGGCGGAAGCAGTTGAAACCCATTTCCCAACAGCTTTCCATGGGTTTTGCCTGCGTTATGTGAGTGAGAATTTCCGGGATACATTCAAGAACACAAAGTTGGTCAATATCTTTTGGAATGCCGTGTATGCACTCACGGCCGCTGAATTCGAGTCCAAGATCTCGGAGATGGTGGATATCTCGCAAGACGTGCTACAATGGTTTGAGCACTTCCCTCCCGAGCTCTGGGCAGTGGCGTATTTTCAAGGGGTTCGGTATGGGCATTTCGCCTTAGGCATCACCGAGATATTGTACAACTGGGCACTCGAATGCCACGAACTCCCAGTCATACAGATGATGGATCACATCCAGGATCAAATCTCATCGTGGTTCAACAACCGTCGCCATATGAGCATGAGATGGAGCTCGATACTTGTACCGTCGGCTGAGAGACGGATCGTGGAAGCAATCTCGGATGCCCGTTGCTACCAAGTGCTAAGAGCAAATGAGGTTGAGTTCGAGATCGTGTCCACAGAACGAACAAATATCGTGGACATAAGAACACGGGTTTGTTCCTGCCGCAGATGGCAGCTCTATGGACTGCCGTGCGCTCATGCGGCCGCGGCTCTAATCTCGTGCGGGCAGACGGTAGAGTTATTCGCAGAGCCTTGCTTCACAGTGGCGAGTTATCAGCAGACGTACTCGCAGATGATAGGTCGGATTCCGGAGAAGAGGACGTGGGAAGGAGGAGCCGAGGGAGGGAGAGGATCGAAGTTTGAGGTACTGATACGGCCTCCGAAAACGAGGAGGCCGCCGGGTCGGCCGAAGAAGAAAGTTGTGAGAGTAGAGAACCTTAAACGGCCGAAGAGGATTGTTCAATGTGGAAGATGCCATTTGCTCGGACATTCCCAGAAGAAATGCACTTTGCCCATTTGAGGATACCCTCACCCTCTCCTCCTCCTCCATTCTCTCTCTCTCTCTTTTTTTTGTGTAACTTGTAATCGCTGCTTTTAGAGAATTGGTCACTGTGAAAAATGGTAAAAAGGTGATGTTTTTAACCAAAGGGTTAAGGGTTCGAGTTATATATTGTGACTTTTGGATGGAGTCGACATGTGCACCCAAAATATCGATCATTTGGTCGAGTAAGGTATTTGAAATTTCGGATACTCGGTCTATCAGCGGAATGGATATGAATCCGAGGAGATAGGGGTGAGAACCGAGAGGGGCATGTACCAAAACAATTTGCTATACCCACAATCCACTGCACCAGTCTTGTTACATTTTTGCATTCCCTTTGTGTTCTAGACAACATCTTGGGATCAATCCAATAGAGAAACACTAAACATCAAAAGAGCATTCAAAAACACTAACCGATAGGGTGATTTTTTACAGCTGCTGAAGAAGACGATGATGATGATTGGGAAGCAAAAGCATTGAGCATAGATTGGGTTTTTATCAGCTTTTCCCTCAGCAATAGGTTGTAGTCATAGAGAAGTTGAAATTTCTTCTTGATGTCGACCACATCCACTTCTGAATCACACCCCTCCTCGAATTCTGCAATGATCCGGGATTTCAGATCAATCACACAAATCAAAAACCAATGAAAACAATCCATTTCTCAATGGAATGTGAGTCATAATTTTAAGAAATCGTTGCACAATGCAATGATCCGCCAACTCAATGCCCCTTATCTATGATCTATCTCAGTTCATGTCCTCCTCTAGCTCATTCTATACCTTAAACGGTGTGCTATTGATACTTCTGAATCGAGATCAACATTTCAGTGGGATAACAGGAAAATCCCGACCCCATATTCAACAAGTAGAGGATATGTATTGTGTGAAAAGAACAACGTTGAGAAATGCAGGGAGAAGATAAATCTTTTTGTAAAATGTATTAACAGAGAAGATAAGAGTGTAACCATTACCCATCAGAGGTGGTGGTGGAATTACATCCCCGCTATGAGAAAGTGCACGGAACTGAGAAGGGCTGCAATCACGTGGAACATCAGAAAGTCTTTTACCGCTCCTCGCTGAATTCTCGGGTTTTCCTTCTAGATGCTGTCAATTGAACCAAAAGTTAATCTCAAACCTCTCCAAAACATTCTATGCGAAGAAAAAACTCTCGAGATTCAGACAATATAAGATGAGCTAATTAGTGAGCTGGAAGCACATGATGAAAGTAAACAAAAAGCTGTGGCATTCGAGCTCAACCTTGTTCTTCGAGTAATTTTCTCCACGATTCAAAGAAGAAACAATTTGGAAAGATCTTAATTCTTGCCCTGTAGGTTCTGCCGCGACATTCTGGAAAAATATACGAAAAAAATCCGAGGGATTGAGAGGGAAAGA